TCATCCGAGCTGTGTAGGTTGCTGAAACAAAGCTTGCAATATGACCTACGGAACTGGACTGGCAGGGGGCTGTAGCCAAAATGACTTTGTCTTTTAAGCTCTTCATCCATTCATCCAAATTAGGCCTTAACATGCTTGAATTGCATGAATTATGCTCTCTTGCTCTATTGGCCTACAAAACACACAAATATAGGCAAATAACTCAGAATTATAGGAAACTAAGCAAAAGAAGTAAGTAAATTGGGCATGTATATGTATGAAATTATGAGCTTTAACAACTACAGCGTTTCGGGATGAATGAAAATTCAAAACCGGTTAGTACACCTCTTGCCCCTCATTTCAAACTTAGTGCTTCTATGTCTCCGAGCATTGATGAGGAGAGTCATTACATGGCTCAAATTCCATATGCAAGTGCTGTTGGTAGTTTGATGTATGCTATGGTGTGTACTAGGCCTGATATTTCACAAGCTGTTAGTATTGTCAGTAGATATATGCATAATCCAGGAAAAGGGCATTGGCAAGCTGTGAAATGGATTCTACGGTATATTCTGGGTACTGTGGATGTTGGTTTATTGTTTCAGCAGGATAAAGTTACTGGTCAATGTGTTGTTGGATATGTGGATTCTGATTACGCAGGTGATTTGGACAAGCGTAGGTCCACTACAGGTTTTGTATTCACTATTGCTGGAGGTCCAGTAAGTTGGAGGTCGATTCTGCAATCTACAGTTGCTTTGTCGACTACTGAGGCTGAATACATGGCGGTAACAGAAGCTATTAAGGAAGCCATCTGGCTTCAAGGGTTGCTTGATGACTTGGGGGTCCAACAGGACCATGTGGATGTTTATTGCGACAGTCAGAGTGCTATTTATTTAGCAAAGAATCAAGTTCATCATGCACGTACGAAACACATTGACGTAAGGTTCCATTTTGTTCGTGAGATTATTGATGAGGGAGATATTCTTCTTCAAAAGATTGGGACCGCTGACAATCCTGCGGATATGTTGACAAAGCCAGTTTCGTTGCTCAAGTTTAAGCACTGCTTATACTTGATTGGCATTTGTTAAATTTGTTGATTGCCCCATGGGGGATTGGGAGACGACTATTGGGAGTTCTACTTCGAGGGTTTGAGCCAAGGGGGAGATTGTTGATTGTTGGCTCAA